CATCAGAAAGCATATTAAGCACTCTGAGAGGCCGAGGCGGGTGGATATACCGAGGTCACAAGTTCGAGATCAGCCTGAGCTAGAGCCAGATCCCTGTCTAAAATAGCCAGGCGTTGTGGCCGGCGCCCATAGTCTCAGTTACTTGGGAGGCTGAGGAAAGAGAATGGCTTGAGCCCAAGCGTTTGAGGTTACTGTGAGCTAAAGAAGCCACAGCACTCAACCGAGGGTGACCAAATGAGACTCTGTCTCAAAAAAAAAATTCTCACCACCGAGTTTCGCCAAACTCCAGCCACTCTTTCCTGTCTCCGTGGAAGCCGGGATCCCAGACTCCCTCCACGCTTCCTGGGCGTGATCGCTGCCCCAGTCCCACCCTCTATCCGCGGCTCGCCCCACCCCCACCTCCCACGCCACGCCTTCCGGGAGAGAGTTTCAACCTCAGCTCCGCCCCAACCACGCCTTCGGGGCTCGGTCCTCGGTCCCAGCTGCGGTCTTTCTATGTATGCTCCAGCTAGGCTCCGCGACCCCGCTACGGCTCCTGCTACGCCACCGGGGTTTGGTCCTTGTACCCAGCCCCGGTCTCAGAGGCAGTCCCGATCCTGGCCTGGTCCCGTCCAGAGACAACGCCACGTTCCCGCGAGAGAAAAGTCTTAATTTTTGTGCCAGCTACCCGTGGTCGCGGCCACCGCTCTGCTGACTGCCTGGAGCTCCCAAGGCGAACCCCCAGCTGGTGTCTCTTCGGCCGGAAACGGAAGTGCATATCGGTGGCATCATGACGACTTTAGCCGAACTCCCGGACTCTGTCCTGCTGGAGGTCTTCTCTTACCTCCCGGTACGGGACCGGATCCGCATCTCCAGGTGTGGCCCCGCTTCCGGAGCGGGGGAAGGGCCGGGTGGAGGGCACCCCTTGGAGAAGCGGATCAGGTCCCCCGGGGGCCGGAGTAGTTCTAACCTCGGGTCTCTTCCTCCAGGGTCTGTCACCGCTGGAAGAGGCTGGTGGACGACCGGTGGCTGTGGCGACACGTCGACCTAACGCTCTACACGGTACGCTAGGCCGGGCGGGCGGGCGGGCCTGGGCCGCATTTGGGTTGACCGGAGCCCGAAGATCACCTCTCCCACCCTGGGACCATGTGTCGGATTCCAGGTTCAGGATTTCCAGCCAGACAGTTGGGAGCCTATCCTGATATCCTCGCTTTCCTGCTCCTCTCCGACCTCGGAGCTTCACTTTTCCCCGTCACCGAAATGAGGATGAGGAAAGTGCTGTTACAGCCCAGCCAGGCCCCTTGCCCACCTGATGTACTGAGACAGCAGGTTTGGCAGCCGAGAAAGTGTTTTATTTCGCGAGGAGCCAGCGAGGAGCTGGGAGTAATTCCTCGAATCAATCTCCCCAAGAATTTGGAAGAGAGGATTTTAAGAATGGTTTGGCTGGCAAAAAGGGCCAGGGTATTGTGTCTGCTGATTAGTGGAAGATGAGCTCATAGGGTTGAAATGCAAAAATTATCAGTTGTGAAGTTTCCTGAGTAGGGGTTTCAGGGCTGTTGGATCCACTCCCTGGGTCTGGTTGGCGTCTCTAGGTCTCTGTGATGCAGAGTCTGAAAAACATCTCGAAGACCTGTCTTAAGTTTTACACAAACAAGGGTTATCTATAGAATCACAAGTCCTGGCATTTATGACAGCAGTGTTATCTCTAGAATCTCAAATCTTGGGATTTAGGGCAGCAATGTTATCTCTAGAAGTGACAGGGAGGAGTCACTAATCTTGCGCCGCGACAGGCGGATAGTGACATTAAGCAGTAACTAGTTACAGCAGCGGGGAAATTGGGGAACAATGGCCGGTTGGTTTTTGGCTGTATTTATGCTTTTATAAAACTTATACTTTGATTACCATTTATGCTTTGTGGCTCTAAACATTATTTTAATAAAGCTGGTCCCAGTTCTTGCCTAAGAGGCTATTGTGAGACTTCCTCCAGCTCCTGGGGATAAGGGCTTAAAACAGTGGCAGGTGTATACTTAGCATACAATAAATGCTAGTTTATAACTGCATTATTAAGTATTATTAATACTGATGATTTTTCATGGAGAAATCATTTTCCTAATTTCCTGAGTAGTACAACTGAATAATTTTCACTTTCTCCCATTTGGATTTTGTGTTTTGTGATTTTATTACGATTGCACATTTTCTTTTCTTTTCTGTTCTTTTTTTAAAATCAGGCCCAGTCAAGGCTTGAACTCACAGCCCTTGGTTTGCAAGGCCATCACTCTAACCATTGCTACATGCTCAGCTTATGTTTTTATCATGAAACATTTCAAATATTTAGAGATGGATAGAGGATAATATCATAGACAACTACTTATGCCTAGTTTTTTTTTTTCTTTTCATTTTAAAGAGACAGAGTCTTACTTTATTGCCCTCAGTAGAGTGTGGTGGCGTCTCAGCAACCTTTAACTCCTAGGCTTAGGCAATTCTCTTGCCTCAGCCTCCTGAGTAGCTGGGACTACAGGTGCCCACCACAACGCCTGGCTATTTTTTGTTGCAGTTTGGCTGGGGCCAGGTTCGAACCCCCACCCTCGGTACCCACTGAGCCACAGGCGCCGTCCCACACACCTAGATTTAACCTCTTTTAACCCTTGGCCTTATTTGCTGTGTTGAAACACATATACACACATATACATAATAACTACTGTTATAAAATGAATTCATAGCCTTTTATGGCTGTATTGACTTCATGTATGTGTGTTCATAAGCAATATATGGTATTGTTAATGTGTTTCTGAAGTTTAGAAAGTGCTATTCTACTAATCAGATAATGCTATTTTTAAAACTTTCAATAGATTAAGGGGATACAAGAGGTTTTGTTACATGGATATATTTTTTGTATTGGCTTTTAGTGCACTTACCACCTGAGTAGTGTAGAGGTACAGTGCACCCAATACCTGTAGGTGATTTTTCATCTTTCACCCCTTTGTCACCCTCCCCCCTTCTGAGTCCCTAATGTCCTTTATACCACTGTATGACCATGTGTACCCATAGCTTAGCTCTCCTTAAAGTGAGAACATGTAGCATTTGGTTTTCTGTTCTTGAGTTGCTTAGGATCATGGCCTCCAATTCCATCTAAATTGCTACAAAAGACATTCTTTTTCTTTTTTTTTTTTTTTTTTT